CTGCATATTGGCTATCACATTCAGCACGGAATTCACATTATTTGGTGCCGATGCCATCGCCAAACATGTGATGCTGCCCGCTGTGCTATGGATTAACAGGTTATCTTCTGGCAGTGTCACGTTCATGCCGGCAAACATCAACGTTATAGACGGTGCCACTATCGGTACATTGTAACATGTGTCGAATCCTCCGAGGGATGCCACGTTGGCAACCTTAACACGTCTCCGAAACTCATCTCGGACAGCGACATAGGCTGGTTCGACTAGCCGGGTGAAGACGGTACCTAAAGTTTAATGGACAAGTTTAAATGCGACAATTTTAAATGAAGCTTTTATAGTTACATTTGACGTAAGAAATTACCGGAATCAATAATGGTGCCGGCACCGGTGGTGGGATTGAAAGCAATGGCAGATGGTGGGATATCAACAACTTTGTTTCCAACCCTAATTCCAATCAGATTCACAAAGTAAAGCGATGGTCTCCTAGGGTTCTTCAGCAACGGGGTGGATTTGATCTTCAATGGCTGCCCAACTGGTCCAAGTCTCAATGACCCAGAAAAGTTCAAGGACCTAAAATTAGGCAAACAGTAAGAGAATGTGGATTGGTACAAGTCTTGGGTCTGAGACAGAAGGGACAATGGACCTCGACCCAGCCCCAACAGACCCTGTGGTGGCACCGAGTTGCTGGTCGTCTGCCGCAGACAGCCAAAAGTGTAGCTCGGGACAGAGTCGGTGGCTAAGGAGATTGTGTCCTGTGAAAGGTTTGCAGCAATGGTGGAACCACCGTAGGTCATGTTGAATATGCAAGTGTTGCCAGTGGCATCGCAGCTGGGATTTGGCACCTGCTTGCATTGAGGAGCTTGGCAGCCGAGGGTGTGGAAAGTGATGGATTTAGCATTTTCGAAAACAGTGGAGGAGCAGCCGGTGCAGCCGGTGCAAGGTATCCAAGCGGCATCGTTGCTGGTATCCATGGCCATTAGCAAGGTTTGAGATGGGGTTCCGATGCTGGCTCTCACGATATAAGTTGGACTCTGCACAATCTGCTGCCTGCCGGAAGCTATTGGCACCACGGATTTCTTGGCCACAAGGCTGGTCAAATATTGGAGCCTGACCTGGTCCTTGGCTTGCATTTGGAGCACATCCTCTTCCCATGACTGTGGCTTTGAGGGTCTGAAGGGTGAGCAGGGACTGTAAATGTGGAACACTTGGAGGTCTGAACCTCGGTCTCGAGTCTCACATTTGGTGTTCAATCCATGGGCTAGTGTAAACAAGAAAAAAAACAGAAAAAATAAATGACTTTTCATGGTTTAGAAGATGGGTTTTCTTGCATGTTTCCACACATATTTATATAAAACATATACATATATATTGCGGTGGGGAAGATTTTTTAGTGGAGTGGCATATAGTTCATAATTGGTCTATTTTCGTTTCAATCCCCTATTATGCTGAAATTATAATTTAATCCATATGCATGTTTCTACATATATGTTTGAAAATTCTGAATTCTAAGTCATATTTTTCTTATTCAGATCATCATAAATATTGAAACAATAATGTAATCGATTCAAATTTTTACTTTCCTATCAAGCCAAATGTGAAGTAAAAAGGATAAAATTCTCGAATCAAGATTAGAATAACCAAAAAGGGGGTGATTTTTAGTAATAATACAGTCGATAAAAAAATTATTCGAATAAGTCACCCGAGAGATTATTTGCTCGGGGTCAATCGGTCCTCGTCTCTCTCCCAATCACATTAAAATCTTTCTTCTCTTCTGTTATTCTTTTTAATGATAATTTATAATATGAAAACAAAGTTTTATATAATATTCAATAACAATGCGTACGCCTTTAAGAAACACAATTATTTGATATCTCATAATTTATATACGTGATATAATATATTATCATGTGATACCTATTATATTAATGTCTAATTATTATTTTTCTAAAAAACCCACTTAATTGAAGTAGCACGTGAACCTACGATTGTGATTTTGTCAGTTTGGAATAGAACAAAATGCATGTAAATTTGAAATCCGATGATTTATGAGGTTATTTTTAATAACAAAATTGAAACTCTTTTTGGAAGACGTGAACGCGAAAAAATAGTTCATAATTGGTCTATTTTCGTTTCAATCCCCTATTATGCTGAAATTATAATTTAATCCATACACTTTAAGTTGACATAATTTAATTATTTATTTTTATAATGTTATTAGTATACTCATATTGATAATAATATTAATTGTTGTCAATAAAAACAACTTTTAACATTTAATAGATAAGTTTATTATTAAATGAATTTTCACATAACTTTGAATGTTAACTTAAATAAACAACTAAAATGTAATGTCATCAGTTTCATCACAATAAAAAAACACTAAAATCATGATTAGACAGTTAATAATTGAACCCATTTTATTATGATTTGAGAACCATTTGGCATTATTATTAGGGATTATGATTAATTCATTTTTCCCCTATTACTAAGACTTCGACTTGATAATCTGGACTAACCCACATCGTATACTTAGTTTTGGTAGGTGAGTCTTCCAACAGAGATTTTATGTATACACAACGACTCAAACTCGAGATCTTATTTAAACGATATCAAACTACTTACTACTTGAACCGACCCTTGTTGGTTATGTTATGTTTAATCCATTGTTGATTCAACATTTTATTTATTTTTGAATGATGAAACAAGTCAATTCTAATTTATATAGTATGTTTTAATCAATATACAAAATGTATTTTTAAAAAAAAAATAGAAATACAAACTTTTTTCGTCATTTTTTTTATAAAAGATTCCATCAACGAAGCTAGAGACATGTCATATATAAAACCTTTAAGTTTTTACTAAAATTATTCCCATATGTAATATTTAAATAAAAAATAAAACTTTGTTAATAATAATTTTAATAATTTATAAAAATTAAACTAAATTGTAATTTTATTGTAAATTGTATAGAATCTAAATCTATATATGGCATTAATTTTAATATTTAATCAAATATTAATATAACAAAATAAATGTTGAAGATAAATCAAGTAACACCATTATATTTTGTGGAGCATTCAGATTTTTTTTATATATAGAATGGATAGAAATTGGATGGACGAAAAATAATAATACAAAAATTCAACATAGAAATTCCATAAATGTTGACTGTGGACACTTCGTAGTTGACATCACATTCTCTTTGTCAGACCGGTGAGTTTGGTAATTTATCAGTTTAATCGGAGATAATTCAATAAATTCAATCTTCATCATTTTAGTCTTTGTTCTTCTTTTAAATTACTTTTCAAATTGACCCTTTGTATTAATAATTGTCTTTTCAATATTTTGTATCGAATCAATGATAAAATCTAACCTATACATTCCTTTATTATAACTTGTTAAAATTTTCTCCTTATGTGCAATTTTGACTTCTTCCTACATGTAAATAAAACAAATAAAAATTCCAATTATAACCTAATATAAAATATAAAAACCAAAATAAATTTTATTAAATTAATAAAATAGACATCAAATAAACTACTATAAATTGGTAAAGGAAAAAAAATATTTTTTTATGTCGAGAAATTCAACATTTTAATTGTAATATTAAACATACACGACTTTTTTTTAGATAATAACAGTGAAAGTATATGAATACTAATATTTTTTTGAATTTATATTAAGACGTCGCTTATATTCAATCATTTTAGCTTATTTGAAATGAGTCAAGTTGAAATTATTAATTAATTCAAAAAGTTATAAAATATAAGCCTATATTCTTTTAATTTTAAATAATTAATTTTATAATTAAAGAAAAAAACTAATAGATTACTCCTGCCCTGATGTTTTGTGAGAAAGAATAGGACTTTTGAATATTTTTTTATTAGTTCAAAATGACTATAAGATAATATATGTTTAAAAATAATTTTATAAATTGATAATTTATATACATCCGTAAAAACAATTATTTGAACTTAAGATTTTTTAAAAAATAGTTCCTTTTAAATATTATTAATCAATTAGATTAAATTAGATTATAATCATTATGCAGTCATGAATCCCATGATCTTATGACCGACAAGGAATTACGTCATGTTTTATTTCTCTCGTAAGGAGCCAAAGGGGGCATAAATTTCGATTTTGTAATATATTTTGTTTTAATGTCATAATCTATTTTTTAGTCTAAATCAAGATATTGGTTCTCTCTCTCTCTTTTTTCTTTTAGAAAAGCAAGATCTTTGATTTTAAAAAGTGCAGATTAATTTATGTTTTAAGAGTATATTAGTATTTTTATATTAGTGTTTATTATAGTGTTTTGTCAAATTACAATGAGAACACAACTATCTTGTTCGATCATTAAGTCCTATAACATTTAAAAAAGGATCCTTCTCAATTAAGGAATGGTTCCCAAATAAATTGACCTTATTTTAAGTTCTCTATCTCATAATTTAACGTATAATAAAATGTTATATTTTGACCCAAATAATAATCGATAAAGATTTTAGTTTAATTCAAATGGTTGAAGATTGTTTAACATTTAAATTTATTTAGGGTAAAATATAAGATTGATCATTTTCGTTTGAGTTTTGTATACTTTTTTTATTTGATTAAAATATATATGATTTAGTCAATTTCATTTTTATTTAGTTAAGATGTGGTCATTGAGAGTTAACTTTCGTTAAACTTTTAACGGATTTGTAGTTTGGAATATGATCAAATATAATGCATGTGAATTGGGAAGATTAAATTGATGAGGTTGTGTATAATAAATAATAAGATGTACAATGTTAGCTTACTTTAGGAATATGGGAAGAAACAAAAAGGAATACAAAATTTTACGTTAGTTGAGACGAATTTATAAAATTTTAGAAAGAAATATATTTTTAATAGAAATAACAAAAATATTTAAAATATATAAGATTTTAATTTTTGTAGTGGAGTAAACCACCATCCCCACCGGCGCTCCACTAGGTATATCCCTAGAAGAAAGTTTGAAAAAGGTCTAGGGAACGAAGTTTTCATCTCTCATGAAATCAATCCAATACGAAATTGACTCAAGGGTGTTGCATCTCATCGTAAAACCCAGGGCATCCACCTTAGCTCGTGACCCCAACAGTTTGGTCGGGAACCGAAACAAGTTGTCTAAGAATTCCCAATTCGCCAAATCTTCCATCTTTGTCTCCACCAACCTTTCCTTCACCACGATTTCTTCCCATTCTTTCTTCTTGTCTCCCATGGCGGTTTCAAACCAAAAACCCTCCAAAAACATCTCTTCCGGCACTCTAACTCCAAATTTCTTTCCCAGTATTGGCCATATCTCCTTCCAGGTAAAACTCGAACCATTGATTGCATTAAACGCCTGGCCATATGAACACACCCCATCACCACATGCGGTGGTGACTGCCCAAATCTGTTGCTCGGCAACGAGTCTCACATCGGAGCCATCGATATAACTCTCTTCCCAGCACTCACTTGTCCCTCCAAACACAAAAGGGAGGTTCAAATGTTTACAAATAGCACCGTAAACACATAAACTCCCTATGAAATTAAACAAAGCCCTGTTGGAGCCACCCATCAACAACCCAGGTCTATGCACAGTCCAAGCCACCTTACCAGTCAATCTCGCATGGAGCAAATCTTCAAGGGCATAGTAAAAGTTGGAGGTCCCACTCGGTCTCACCCATTCTTCGTCGAACAACTGAATCATTTTCCCATTGGAAGCTACATAATTACTCATCCCCGTTTGAAGTGCAAAATGCTTCAGTTCCTTTGCTATGGGAAGTATGGCATTCAAGGCATTTGACATTGTAAACACCCGTTTTTGTCCGGGTTTTTTTTCCGTTATTTTATTATTATTATTATTATTATCATTATATTATTATTTTATTATTATTTATTATTACAATTTTTGCAGGCCTAGTCCCTAAGCCCAATTCAGATTACAGAGGCCCAACAACCCGAAGCCCATTTGGCCCAGAGACCCTAAGCCCAATTCAGATTACATTGGCCCAATCCCGGTCCCCAACAACCCATCAGATTAGGGTTTCAAACCCTAAATCAGTTTAGGGTTTCAAACCCTAAATCAGTTTAGGGTTTCAAACCCTAAATCAGTTTAGGGTTTCAAACCCTAAATCAATTTAGGGTTTCAAACCCTAAATCAATTTAGGGTTTCAACACTAATCCCCTTCCAGCCGCCGTGTGACCCTTCTCTGCCTCAGCCGCCACAGCCGTTGGACCTTCATTTGCCCAGCCGGTCAAGCTGGCTGCTTCCCTCACCGCCGCTGTCATCGGAGCTGTGAAGAATCCATCCATCAAACAGTGACCGGTCCCTGTAAAAACAGTAACCAAATCAAAGAATAGTGGCCTAAACTTTACCAAATCTAAAAACCCATTAAAATAACACCCGAAAATCCCGAAAAATCGGGATTTTATTCACCTAAATCAGAGAAATCAAAGGCTATCTACCTAGATATCATCATGATCTCAAGGGAAATCCACATGCAAGAAAGATAAAAGACAAAAAGAAGAGAAAAGAGGGCGGTGATAACCAGAAAAAGAGAGGGAGGGCTAAAAAAAAAAAAACAAAGTGAAGGAGATCTTACCCTTGTAGAAAACCTCGTCGTTGTAGCCTAGCCAGAACAGAGAAGGCCGTATTGAAGGTAAACTGTCCCTTTTTGGATCTAGGGTTTTCGGATAGGGGTTTTCGGTTTTTTTTGCTTGGGGTAGGAGAAAGGTTATTTGTTCAAAGGAAGAGAGGAGGGTTGGTCGTGGTTTGATCTCTCAAGCCATCGCCGCTGCGGCGGCCGTGGCCTTTTTTTTTTTTCTCTCCACGGCGGAGACAGAGGCGGGAGAGGGAGAACTTTGAGCATTCTTTGGCTCTCTGTTTTAAGAAGGGAAGAAGTAGAGATGAGGGAATGAGGGCCAATCTCGTTTTAGGGCTTTAATGCCCCCTGTGAAACGGCCGTGTTTTAGAAGAAGGGTTCTGCATTTCCTCGTGTGGGTTAACTACTTTTAGTCCCTAGGGTCTTGTAATCATATTGTTAGACCATTAAATGAAATGATAATTTCTTTGATTTCGAGCAATAAGTTTTCAGAACTTATAACTTAGTACTGTATTGTTTGTTATGACATTTCTATTAACATTTGATTTTGGTCACGGCATTTATAAGTGTTGTAATTTAATCATCATGTGGAAATTGGTTTAACTGCTGTTCCTTATGTTCCTGTTTTTTTTCATTTTAGTCCTGTACATGATTTATGGTTT